ACTTTGACATCCTGCCCAGTTTGATGCTGCTGCTAAAAGATTTTCTTATTTGTCAAACCAGAGCCAACGTATAACTTCACAGGATGCTCGACCTTACTCATTTTAGGGAAGAAAGGGCTTCTTGTAAGAGTTGTCATGAAATACAACTTGTTTCTCGGAATTTTAGGACTTTATTCTCTTAATATTACGACTTTATTCTGGTGATTTTTTTACTTTAATGTCATAATTTTACGCCTTTATTTTCAGAACTTTACGAATTTATTCTTGTAATTTTACTAATTTATTTTCGTAATTTTATGACTTTATTCTTGAATTAGAAGGAAAAAAAAATCTCAGGCCTGGCCCTAATACTCTTACGTAATGTTAATATCGCGATCAAAGAAATCTTTGTATGCAGGTCGGGCGCCTCCAGGCGCATCGCTGCCCCCCTCAGGACGCTGGCTTGTTCATCATTTCCTGGGCATTACGCTGCTGTGCGTTATGCATAAGCTAGGCTGTCATTGGAAAGAAGTTCTGGACTCATAATCAATACTCTATGTACTCTATGCCCAAAATTGAAAAAAATCCATAGAAAGTTCACTGTATGCCAGCATTTTAGGAGATTCTGGGATGTCAGTAATATGCAGGATAAATCAGCAAGGTGTGACAGGGGCTTTAAAGATGAGCAGAAGGGGGGGGGAACTAAGCCAGTGACTTAGAATGGAAGTCAGAACCAAAAGTTAGAAATGAAAGAAGGAAACTAATCAGGAAACAAGAAAAGATTGCCTTAAGGAAAACAGCTGAGGAAGGAAGTTAGGGAAGAAAAAAGGCAGGATGACAGAAAGGAGCAGATAAAAAAAAGGCAAAATTGAAAGAAAATACTAAGAAGGAAAAAAGGAATCGATGAAGGAAGAAAGAAAAGTGGAAAAGAAGGAATGGAAGAAAGGAGACAACTTAGGAGAGATGGAAAATGGAAAAATTGAAAATAGAAAGTAGTTTGTAGCAAAAGCAGAAAGGTTTTTTAGGACAATGATAATGCATCAGCGATGAGAAAAGGGATTTGGAAATAAAGAAAGTAAAGATTGAAAAAAGATAAATGAAGTTAGGAAAGTATTACATTTAAAAGGAAAGGAGGTAAGGATGGAAAGAAGTTACTAAGAATTCAAAGGAATAAGAGAAGGAAGGAAAGAAAAACAGAGCAAGAAAAAAGGAGAAACAGTAAGATACTAAAAGACAAAGT